TCAATATACACACAGACACAGACAGACATACAAACGCATATAATTGACCTTGACCTAGCTTGACCTGAAATGACCTCAGCAGCAAAAATCTGGTCGGGTAGTGTGACAAAGAGGTTCTAGCTGGCCTGGCACCAGAAAACGGCATCGTCATCGGTATATGATAAGCAGCGCACTTGATATCCAACGGTGACCCAAAACAGCAACATTTTTTAGTTTGACCTGACCTGGAAGGTCAATGACTGACCTGAGAAGGTAAAACTAGGTATCATTGGATTCGTCTCTTCCCAAAGAATCTTTTTTATCTTTACCGCTAAGCCCTATCTCCAACAGGAACGAAATGGCGCGGGGGGTGGCAACCCCCCCCCCCCCATGTGCGTTCTAGGATGGGAAAATGGCATGTGCGGGCGAGGGTTAATGACTGCTCGACACACAAAATTTTCAAAAAAAATTGTAACATCTAGATGTCATACGGAGACAAAAACAGCGCCATTCGATTCGCCGTGAAAAACTGCATCAGAAAGACAACTTATTAGCCCGCGCCCACATGGGGGGCACGCCGCTAATATTTTCATTTTTAAAGGAATTAAGACGTTACAAAAAGATTACACGTGATTCTAATTTGTCCATCAAATGACTAACTCGGTTTTTTAGTTTTGGATTTTGGTCCATTTTTTCAAAAAATAACTGACTTTTGGAAAGTAATTATAAAATCCAATATTTTGAGTGTATCGAAAACAATGGAATATATGTCAGAGAAGAGGTCTATTTGCACCTACATACCAATTTTTAGAAGAATCGGTTCATAAATGTGGGAGTTATTCAAATTTTATAAAGTCACTGCAAACAAAATTTTCGAAAAATGATTTTTTGGAAGTTCTAGACCTAGTACGGAAACAAAAATAGCACCATTCGATTCGCCGTGAAAAACTGCATCAGATAGACACCTTTTTAGGTCTTAACCCTCGCCCGCACATGTCATTTTCCCATCCTAGAACGCACATGGGGGGGGGGTTGCCACCCCCCGCACCATTTCGTTCCTGTTGGAGAATAGAGCTTCGCGGTAAGAACCAAAAAGATTCTTTGGGAAGAGACGAATCCAATGATACCCAGTTTTACCTTCTCAGGTCAGTCATTGACCTTCCAGGTCAGGTCAAACTAAAAAATGTTGCTGTTTTGGGTCACCGTTGGATATCAAGTGCGCTGCATAGCATATACCGATGACGATGCCGTTTTCTGGTGCCAAGCCAGCTAGAACCTCTTTGAACACTACCCGACCAGATTTTTCTGCTGAGGTCATTTCAGGTCAAGTTAGGTCAAGGTCAATTATATGTGTTTGCATGTCTGTGTGTGTCTGTGTGTATACTGATGTGTGCACCGAGTGTCTATGTGTCCATATTACATGAAATCATGATCTGAGAAGCTTTTACCAAAAATGCAGTCAAAAAACTTCACAAAAAGTAGGGGAGAGCGGGGCCAGTTGAACCACTTTTTATATATTGACATGCACAGCGAGATCTAGTTGTCATATCGAAAAATGCACAATGCCATGAAAAAATATGCTCTTTTGGCTTTATTTTAAGATACGTAAAATTATGTTTCAAACATATTTTGCTGCCAAACGCATGCTTATAAAACAGCTCTACGCCCGTTTCAAATGACCCCGATGCGAGGGTCAATTGAACCAGCCTATGGGGTCAATTGCACCTATCCTTAACAATGGGATGTTTTCCTCTTTAAGGCCACTTTCTTAAAGGGAGATAATGAGCTTTCTTTTTTCTTAAATAAAAATTACTCGACATCTATACTATTTCTACTGTAGTTTCTATAACATATGAAAATTTTCTAGCACATTTTCGTATGTGAAAAAGGTTTTTATTTTTGCAAAAAAGAAGCAGTACTTGCAGTACTTGTAACACCCACCGAAATGCGTTGTCCTTCTCTATAAAAAAGTCGCAGTATATGGCGCTTTTGTTTCAAACAGCGACGCTTGGGTTTTTGTTTATGTTATCGCCTTGTCGTTGCTTGGTTGTAAGGATTCTAATTTGAATTAGAGTTAATTCGGTTTAGAATTAATTAGATTCTAATTCGGGGGTACATAGTGCCTACTCTTCTTTGTTTCCAAGTATTATTTTGCGCCACAAATGAATGGCATGCGCCAGAAACGCAGCCAAATCTTGCGATTGCGACTACGAAATTCATTATTTTGGCCTCAGAGCCAGAAGCGAAAAATACAAGCATATTTATTTCAAAAAGACTTCAGGTTTGTCGAACGGTGTTATGAGAATTTTGATAACAGTACCTACTGCATAAGTTTTTCAGTGATGCCGCAAAAGTGTTGTATCTATCTTCTTTTATTGTGCAGTCGGCGGGACCGATTCAAAATTGAGTGGTTGCTACTAAAATAGCAGCATATGGCGACAGATGATGAACAGGAAAATAGTTGCGTAAATCATAATAGGTGACATAAAGTACATAGACTATGGTAAAATGGGCGGATGAGAAAAATGAGAAATATCTCAGGCTATAGTGTGCTTTCAAGCAAAAGGCTGGAGAAAAAGGGGTCAAAAATTGAGCTCTATTAAACTATTATTTCAGTTTAAAAGCTCATTTCAAAGGTGGACTATTTCCTTTAATGTTCACAGCCCCTGAACAATAACCATGGCAAAGGTCACCGGGGTCCATTGAAACGGCCTGTGGCCCTGTTTCAACTGACCCTCAGAGAAGCGTTTCAATTGACCCCATCCACTCCCGCCATCTCGCACGCGCCGTAAAGCACATGTCAAACGAGCTGGAGGGACGGCATCATGCTGAATGAAGGGCCAAATAAGGTGTTATTCCGGAGCTAGGAGTTCTTCTATCAGCAAACAAAGGTATATGAGATAGCACAAAATATTCATAAGAACGATTTCTCCCAAACGCCCCTCAAAAACACAAAAACAAGTGTCAAATCAAAATTACCGTCCGTTTGTTGCCCAAACGCCGTTGACAAAGGAAGTGGTCGAGCGCGGATGCGCAGTGGTGTCGGCAACGCCATATGTTGCATACTGTTAAAAATAAAGCCATGTTTCATCTGACCCCGTGTTTCAACTGGCCCCGCTCTCCCCTAAATTACGCTTGCCTAAAACGCAATTATTTTAGATGACCTAGGTTGACCTTGACCCTGACCTTGACATCTGTACATCGTCGAACAACATGTTCCATGATAGATGGGAGGTAAGACTGGCAAAAAAGGCCGAAATCAAGGTGTCAAAAGCTCACAAGGCCCATAGCCAACGCAAGATGTTGAGAATTGGTCATTTGGGTCATGACATGACCTGAAAAATAAGGTCATATCTCCGAAACCAAAAACCACAGAAACTTGAAATTTTCAGTGGACATCAAGAAAGAATAGAGGAGCAGCTATACGAAAATCAGCCCTCTAGCTCTAAAAATGTCGAGTGCAGAGTAGAAAGACTACCTGGGGGGGGGGGTGGCAACCCCCCCCCCCCCCATGTGCGGGCGAGGGTTAACAACCAAATTCAAAATTTGACCTCACTTGACCTGACCTCGACCTGAAATTCATCCAGAGGTGGTCCATATCACTCATTGAGTGTGTCTATTAAATTTTATGAATAAAATGACCGATAAAACATGTGTCACACATGCCCTCTTTTATATTTCGTATTTGGTGACCTGACCTGACCTCGACCTTTGTATGACATTATATGCAACGAATCTTGTCTTGGTAGCCTAAGAACACGTTTTGGGCAATCAGTCTCAGTCCATTCTTCGGCAACTACGGCGCAAGGCCGACGCTGTAGAAACTTGCAGGTTGTACCCTTAACCTGACCTCTGAACTACTTAAGCAAAAAGATCTTATGATGGCTCTTACGATCAGACTTGTTGAGACCTTTCGATTGCCGCTTTCACCGTCTTTTTACGACCATCGGTTCGGAAGTTAGACGGGGGGTTACGCAGAATCTCTCCCCCCCCTCCCAGCAGGGCGCGTATGGCTGAATAGCCCAGCGGGCCGCGGGTTAATTGATATACGAATACTGCATGGGGGAGCGGGCAATAGCAAAAAATATTCCCCGATGTGACGTCACTGTCGCCCGAGGGTGAAGACCGAAACAAGTGCTATTGCCCGAGGCGAAGCCGAGGGCAATAGCACTTGTGGAGGTCTTCACCCGAGGGCGACAGTGACATTACAGAGGGCAATATTTTTGCTATTGCCCGCTCCCGCATGCAGTATTCGTTTTATTACATGGCCAACTCTCGGAATCTTTACTTAGTACTCATTCACCCCGTAATAAAAAATATCCAAACACAAATATCATGGTTCAATTGAATGTATTGGATATACAATCATAGCCACGTCACATGTCTACGGCACACACTTAGTTGCTTTACATGTTAAAGTTGAAGATGCAGCCTGTGAAGAGCTGGCCGCCGCCGGTCTGAGGCTCCACTGTTTCACGCCGTACTTGAGGAGACTCTTCGATTTGTAGCGTTCATCGTCCTTGCGTTTTACAGTAATGAAGAACTCCTTCACAGCGTTGTCCAGGACATCGTTGCTGTGCATGCAGCTTTCAACAGATATGCCTTTTACTTGCAAGAACTCAATGAAGACGTCTTCTGCTGATTTAATCACCTTTTTAGTGCCCTGAGCCCTGCGCGATGAAAATAGCTCATCCAATTCATGCGGCTCCAACAAATTAAATCGGGGCATTTGAACGGACATGTTCAAATGACGGCCCAGTTCTAGATGACTTGACTAGCCAATCACGAAATCAAACTGAACAGTCTGAGAAAACGACGATAAAATTACGACATTTGAATTTTTGTTCAAACACCACTGCGCGAGCCAAGGCCCTAAAACATAGCGCGAGCAACTTACTATTGACCGTTGACATGGCAACCGCTTCTCACCTTCAGAAAGGTCAGTAACCTGACACTGAAAGGTCAGTAACCTGATGCCGGGCAATAGTAAAAAATATATCATGCCAAATTAACACAGGAGCCATGTAATAAAATCATATATTTATATTATTCTAGCACGTGACAGATAAAATGGGAAAATCGTGCTTATCACAACCACGGCAAGTTGAGAGCGTCTCACTGAGCTGTGAATCTATAGTCTGACAAACCTAAGGAAGAACGAATTTAAAGCACAACCGTGCTTTTTTTGCACTTGCCTTAATATACCCGACATAGTAGCATGCCTTTATATACCCGAGAACACATAGGCATAGCAACAGGGGGGAGGGGGCGGCGGGGACCATGGCCTTCCTCCACCACTTGTTAGCCATTTTTTAGTAAAATCTTTATTTTCTATTTAAATACAAAACTAAAAGCAGGAAATGGTTCAGCAAGGTGAGATGATCACAAAACTACAAAGAATTTCTTCCTATGGGTATTGGGGCTCCGACAAAGTGACATTGAAGTTTCGTTGCCCCCCCCCCCCAACACACACACTTTTCGTGAGTCGTGAGGTTCCTACAGTCTACACCCCTGCGAGAAAATTTCTCTGAATGCTTTTCAGACAGGTTTTCTCTGGGCTATGCATTAGCATTTAGCAGCAGTAAATTTCGTGCCAAACGCATATGGCGCTCTCACTACGTTCTTTCTTATGTTTGTCAGACTACAGGCATCACATCACGATACCTCTCCGATCATCACACATTGAAATGTATCATAAATAGCGAGTGACTAACTACGATAGGCACCTTGCATTTCTCACCAGTTTCTTCGCACACAAGCCAGTACTTTCTATGGCAACCGACACCCGATAGACCCGACATTCTATCGCTTAATACACTCGTCCCCTGAAAACCGATTACTGCAGCAGGATGCGTCTTGCGAATCTGTAGCATTCCGGTAACGTATAACTGCCCACCACTGCGCAATACACCGTGCGTTCTGGCGCAGACAAGCCCCCGTGACGATATCGAACGCCCGGCACGTGAACACACAGATAATCTGACCCTCACACGCTACGCCTCACTGGAGCCAAACCACGCTGGGCTGCAAATGACTCGCCGAACGCATGCCCCGTCCTTTCACACAAGTGGTACGCCAACTTCACCCAAACGCGCAACACGGCGGAAGCTCATCTACCTCACCAGTACTCAGCTGACTTGTCGATGCATTGTCAACTTTAGACATATCCACACTCCCTTTCCCTGAAGTCACCCGATAAAACGTCTATTGCATTACATTGAGGTCCTGTCCGTTGACCGCACGACAGGGGAGAATTTTCGTCGTGTGGCGGCGTTGTACAGGACGACGCCGCCGAACACCACGGCGGTGCCCAGCGTGCTGAGCGGCGTCACGGCGTTGTGGAACAGCAGCACGCTCAGGATGATCAGCAGCGCCCGCTTCACCGTGTTGGCCACACTGGAACGGAACGGTCGCAGTCACGCGCGGACAGAGCCCACAGGAGACGGCCGACACCTGTGCTGCGGGCCGGACTTCCGCTGTACTCTACTAGGGAACAACGCTTAGCCACGTCGTGATTCCTAAAAAATTACATGCTACTGGCCAGAGCACCTGTTGGCTCTGAAGTGAGCGACAAACGGAACATGTTCGAAGAAGTCAACGCTCCAGACAGATTACACATACTCAATTGGGGGGTGGTAGGGAGCGGTACCTGAGCGGAGGCTCATTACGGAGCGAGCGAAGCGAGCGTAGTCTTTCCTTAGATTAACGGAAATTTCTGAGTATGAGCGGCCGGCCGGCCGGCCGGCCGTGGTCACGATTCTGCGACGCTTATATCTCAGCAACCACTTGACCGATTTACACGCAGTAATTTTTGTAGGGTAGCTTCATTCCTTCTACCAAGTATTGGACTATTCCCGATGCATGTGGGTGACCCCTTATGCACGTGCCACGTGCAAAACGAAGAGGTGTCACTTTTGTAATTGTTGCAATATCTCGGTAACCACTTGGCCGATTGCGCTGAAAGTTGGCATGTAAATAGGCACCCACTAGGCAATGCATATCCATGAGCCAGAATTGGGGTGCTGCTGCACGTGCGCGCGTGCAGGGGTCGATTCCAGATCTCGAGAACGGCTGGACCGATGGCGCTCAAATTTGGCACATGGTTAGGGACCGGTTAGTAGGGTGCCGTGCAAAAGTCAGTTGGGACCCATTTTGCACGTGCGCACGTGCAGGGTGCCGCTTCCAGATCTCGAGAACGGCTGGGCCGATTGTGCTCAAATTTGGCACATCGCTAGAGACCGGTTAGTAGGGTGCCGTGCACAAGTCAGCTGGAGGTACCCCGTCGAAAATTCGCACGTGCAAGTCTCACCCTCTCGCCCGCTCCGTTTAGTCGCCCCAAAAGGCGTTATACTGATTCTTAGCCATTTTCGTAGATGTCGGGCTAAAACTTTTTACAGTGGGTCTTCGGTATGTGTTCACTGTTCAATCACATGTGCTCCAATCTCCATTTCTTCTTTTTTATTTAAGCACAAATGTAAGTTTTGAAGACCATCACAGTAGAAAATGCTTCGAAGTTCGAAAGATGGATAGTGGGCGAAATATCCTGAATTTATGGTACTGCATGGGAATAGGTATTGCTGAGAAAATGTTTTTTTCCAGATTATTGTGGGTGCAGAATACATTGTCTGCACCCACTGGGGAATTATTGTGGGTGCAGCTGCACCCACTGCACCCATGGTTCCTAGCTTATGCTTACCTGTAGGTCACAGGACTGATGTATTCCATCAGCATGTACGCCGTCGCGGTTTGCAGGTAGTAAAAGAAGCCGGCGGCGGCCAGCGTCGTGCCAGTTGCCATGGAGACGGCGCCAACGGCGGCCCGACCTCCAGTCAGATGCAGAATCGGCGTCTGAATTAGGACGCCGGCCACTCCCGGGTAGAACTGCAGCTCAGCAGCGCTGCGAGCCGGTGCGGATACAATCACTTGACGAAAATAGCAGAAACTTGTCGGCCATACAGAATCCCGGTCAGTAGGACAGCAAGATGGTAGTACCATGTTTTAATTCACAGAGTGACTGGAGGCGGAGGGCTAAAATATTGTCAACCCTTGCCAGTCGCTGGCAGTTTTTCACGATTGCTCGGACCACGTTAGCGATAGAGCTGAAATTTAGCATGCCTGACGATGGATTCAAGACAGAATCTTGTAAAACCAATGGTATGCATCATAAGTACCTAAGGTACCTAAACCTCTGCAGCTGCGCGGTGCATGCATGTCGCATTGCCGTAACGAACTCATTGGGATTGAATCTTGCTACCAGGAAGACAATAATCAAGGGGTGGTGGGCTTCAGAGTCCTCACAACTTGTATATTTTAGATGTTTCCTTCAGGTTAATTGTGGCCATTGTTGGCGCCAGCCGCCAGATCCCTCGAGTCGCTAATTTTTCGCTATGGGCGTAGGAATCTCATGAAAAGTGTGTGGGGGGAGGGGGAGGGGGGCAGCAAACTTCAATATCACTTTATGGGAGCCCCAACACCCCTATGAAGAAATTTGCAGTTTTGCGCTCATCTTACCTTGCTGAACCATTTACTGCTCGTAGTTCTGCATTTAAATAAAAAATAAAGCTTTTACTTAAAACAATGACAGGAAAGTGGGGGGCATGGCCCCCAGTTCCCTGTTCCTACGACTATGTTTTTTGCGATTATTTTTGAATGCGTGGAATAATTTCATCCAAATGCAGTAAATGGCCGTTTCAAGACACGCAAAAACTTCAACTATTTGGATATTTTCTCGTCATTTTAATATTTAAGACACTTCTCAATGATTTGTAAGTTTAAATTCCGATAAAGATTTTCGCCCGATGTGTGGAGGCTATCAATTGTGAGTCTGTGATGCGTCCAGGGTTGGGTTTTAGCCGGCTGAAATTAATTGTATGCCAGCCAGTGGCTTTTATTGATTTAAAGGGACTATCCCACCTTCTAAAATGTTGTTAAAACAGGTTAAACAAAACGGATTTAAATGTTTTTAGTAAAACATTTAAAATCGTTAGATTTCCGCTGACGTCACAAATTCTAAGGGGACATTCCAATGCATTAGCCCCTTAGAATCCGAAAACTGCAAGTTTGAAATTCCATATCTCAGAATTAAAGCAATTTTTGATGTTGTGAGTGCACAAACCGGTCTTTGCGGGCCATGGCCACCAATGTGGCTATCTCAACTCAAAACTAATGTTAAGGTGGGATGGTCACTTTAACCCTCGCCCGTATAGGGGGGGGGGTGGTCGAACGGACCCCCCCCCCCCCTTGGATTTTCGCGAATAACTCGCGTAAAAAGCTGCCGATCGCGACGAAACTTTCAGTACCCTCGCGTTAATCAATTTTACACCTACCCTGAAATTTTCATGACCCTGACCCTAATGACCTTTGACCTGTGACCCACTTTTCGAGACCATGTTTGGCCGGAATCGCGATTCGGCGTATGTCGGCTCGCATTAGCAGCGCGTTTGCAGTCTTTTCGTGGTTTTAAGCGTTCAAACATGGGATATGATGTTGCTCCCATGCATGAGGGTGGGTGTCAAGGTCACCGAAAGGTCAAGTCAGGTCATTGACCTTTGATGACCTCGGTTCACTTTTTCGAGTTTTACATGTTTCTAGCCTTCTAGGCCAGTTTTTTTTAGCTGAATTCGAATTTAGCAACCATATAAACATTTACGAAGTAGTTTTGGTGCCTTCGTAACATGTTACGAAGCTGTCAGAGGCGGTTGCTACCTACTACGAATACCCTTACTGGTTGACCTGACCTGGCCTAAATGCATGAAGACATCATCTGTGATCAAAACTAACATGATATTCGTGATCAGCACCCCGAAAAAAACCCATAGCAGCCACGCTTTACGACTTTCTAACAGGTTCCGATTTTCCCGACTTTTGGGTCATTGACCTGACCTTGAAGGTCAACCGATGACCTAGGACCTTAACATTGGGTATCATTGGCTGCCTCTCGTCACGGGCAACACGCTCGTTTTTCCGCGAAGCTCTAGCTCGATCAGGGGCGAAACGGCAAGGGGGGTCCAACGGATCCCCCCCCCCCCTTATACGTTGGCGGCTGGAAAAACACCAATACGGGCGAGGGTTAAAACAACTGCCCAAATTCTACCAAACAATACACATCAAAATCAAACTTTCTGCACCCAAACCAATGCATCCGTAAAATTAAATACCGCTTGCCAAGGGGATTCGCCGGCAAGTAAAATAAAATTCTTGCAATAACTCAGCCGCTACTGGGCCGATGGCGCTGAAACTTGGACTGTGGGTGGACACTGGGCAGGGTAGGTTATGGGCAGAGTAAGGTATGGCCAGGGTTGGTTTGGGGTAGGGTACCTAATACCTTACTGTTCAATGAAAACAACTGCCCAAATTTTCCAAATAATGACCATCAAAATCAAACTTTCTGCACTCAAACTAATGCATCCATAAAGGTCACCAAAGGTTTTTTGCTAATAACTCCTCGTTGATTACGAGCGAGCGAGCGAGTTCATTACGGAGCGAGCGAAGCGAGCGGAGTCTTACGTAGAATAACGGAAATTTCTGAGCATGAGCGGCCGGCCGGCCGGGCCGGCCGTGGTCACGATTCTGCGACGCTTATATCTCAGCAACCACTTGACCGATTTACATGCGGTAATTTTTGTAAGGTAGCTTCATTCCTTCTACCAAGTATTGGACTATTCCCGATGCATGTGGGTGACCCCTTATGCACGTGCCACGTGCAAAACGAAGAGGTGTCACTTTTGTAATTGTTGCAATATCTCGGTAACTACTTGGCCGATTGCGCTGAAAGTTGGCATGCAGGTAGGCACCCACTAGGCAATGCATATCCATGTGCCGGAGTTGGGGTGCTGCTGCACGTGCGCACGTGCAGGGGTCGATTCCAGATCTCGAGAACGGCTGGACCGATTGTGCTCAAATTTGGCACATCGCTAGAGACCAGTTAGTAGGGTGCCGTGCGAAAGTCAGTTGGGACCCATTTTGCACGTGCGCACGTGCAGGGTGCCGCTTCCAGATCTCGAGAACGGCTGGGCCGATTGTGCTCAAATTTGGCACATCGCTAGAGACCGGTTAGTAGGGTGCCGTGCACAAGTAAGCTGGAGGTACCCCCTCGAAATTTCGCACGTGCAAGGCTCACCCTCTCGCTCGCTCCGTTAGTCGCCCCAAAAGGCGTTATACTGGTACTGAATTAAGGGAAAACCCTGAGTATGAGCGGCCGGCCGTGGGGACGCTCTACAAAAGCTAATTACGAGCGAGCGAGCGTAGCGAGCGAAGTGAGTCTTTTCAATATAACGGAAAAATCTCAGTATGAGCGGCCCGGCCCGGCCCGGCCCGGCCCGGCCTGTAACGCTTTTGAGAGGCTTATATCTCAGCAACCGCTGGACCGATTGGCCTGCAGTCTTTTTTGTTGGGTAGCCCCATCCTTTCTACCCTGTAATTGACTACTTTTGATACATCTCAGTGACCGTCGTGGCACGTGCCACGTGAAAAGTCAAGGGTGTTCAAGCTGTTTTGCAAAAGTAGTGATTTTGAGAGGCTCATATCTCAGCAGCCGTTTGGGCGATTGACTTGCGGTAATTTTTGTAGGGTAGCAGCATCCCTTCTACCCAAAATAGGATACTCTCGATGTATGTGGGTCACCCCCAGTGCACGTGCAAAATACAACAATAAGAGGTGCCAAATTTGTTCCCATTTCAGTAACTCGGTAATTACTGGGGCGATTTCGCTATAACTTGGCATACAGGTAGGCACCCACCAGGCAATGCATTCCCATGTGTTGCGGTTAGGGTGCTACTGCACGTGCGCACGTGCAGGGGCGTTTCCAGATCTCGAGAACGGCTGGGCCGATTGCGCTCAAATTTGGTACACGGTTGGGGAGCAGTTAGTAGGGTGCCGTGCAAAAGTCATTTTGGACCCCGTTTGCACGTGCGCACGTGCAGAATGCCGCTTCCAGATCTCAGGAACGGCTGGGCCGATTGCGTTCAAATTTGGCACACCGCTAGCGACCGGTTAGAAGGGTGCTTTGCACAAGCCCGTTGGAAGCATCCTCTCGCCCTTCCGCACGTGCAGGGCTCACTATCTCGCTCGCTCGTTCTTCGCCCAAAAGGCGTTTTACTGGTAAGCAACCATGGTGAATCAACTCCCGTTCTCAACTTTGTTAACGGCCTTTCGGCATGTTTTTTGCTGGAGAGCTTCAGCAGCTCATCTGCAAACAGTTAGGATTGAGCAAAGCGCAATTATATCAGCTAACGAAGCCAGAGAGAGCAAGAGATAACCCTGATTGACAAGCTTGGGCTCGACCCAAAAGGGCCATGCACCAGTAGTCAAACGGGTGGTTGCTTGTCATAGAAAACAAACGCCACCGATCTAGCTAAAAACTAGCTAAGCGATAGGTCAGGATTATCTACAAAACATCAGTCTACTTAACACCACTATCTTCGACAAAATTTTAGAATTTGAGGTCCTTCGCCTGAAAAATATGCGAAAACTACGGGAAAAGCAGCGCAAATCACTACAATTCGTCCCAAAAACATAACATATACAACAAAAAAAGTATATCGAAGCACACTTTGTGGTCTAACGAAGGTATTCTGTCATTTGAACCGCCCGAAAAAGGCGTGTGTGAACGTCAGATGGCTACAACGCCCCAACAGCAGAGACGGCCAGGCACCCGTCGAAAATCAAATTGTGAGACATTTTGAGCCACCGTGCACTCATTCGGCTTGATATGATGGCCCAAGACAACCGTTAGCACAGAGTACTACTGCGGTAGTATTCTACCAGTACAAAAACTGGATGCCGTGAACCAAATGGCCATGGACGAGTTTGTTTTGGAAACCAAATCTGTTGGAAACCAAAGGTCGCGCCATGTTCAGACATGGAGCTTCTCCACTTCAGATGTAAAAAGCGCGGCAAAAGTGGTGTAGGCAGAAATTTTTGTTCTGGGGGATAATGCCTTATGGCCTGGGAACACTTTGATGTTAAGTTTATCTTATATGATCGTATTATCCTCCGGCAAGAGGTCAAAGAAAACAGACCTACACCCAGTTTCGGGAGACCCGTAAAACAACTGAGACCAGCAATGGCTGGCATTTTCCATTAATGTCGGCTGATCTTGTAACAAGCGTATCTATTGCATGTGCTATTTCACAGCCATGAGCCACCCTAGTTGACTATATAGGACGATAAAAAGAAAAAAGCGCAATCATGTTTGCGCTTTTTTATACGGTAATTAACAATGTTCGGGTAATTCTGGGACACCGTGTAAGCGGTTTAAAATATAGGATAAATCCTAAGCGGTTTCAAATAAAGGATACATTATAAGCGTTGAATTTCACTCACCTGTATTTGTAATCCTTGTTATTGATTATTTTCTTCACATATACGCTTTGCAAGCTGAAAAGGGTAAATGCGTTACAATTTACCATCACACGGTTGTTTTACATTGCTAAGGAGGAAATGTGAGCAATATGTGCGCGAGTGCTGTCCACGCTAGAGTAATTTCTAGTGAAAAATAAAGGAAAGCAGTTGTGACGACAACAGCAGGACAATATGTAGTGTTTTTACGGAGCGAGCGGAGTCTTTCCTTAGATTAAAGGAAATAGTTCACTTTCACGAAATCATTTTTTTTTGCAATGGATTTGTGATTTTTTATGTTCAAAATGATCAGCAAAGAAAATAAAACCTTTTTACAGCAAAAGATTATTTTCTATATTTTTGATACCTATAGGAAGAACTTTTCAGTTTCTGTAAGGCACCGCGATCCAGTATGAAAAGAGCATGGGTCCCGAAAAATCTTCAGAACTAGAGAAATTATCGCGGCCACCGGCATTTGGGCGATCTGCTCGTGCTTTTGTTACTGGAGCGCCTCACTGGAGCGAATTTCTCTAGAGTTCTCGTAGATAATTTCTCTAGTTTCTGAAGAATTTTCGGGACCCATGCTCGTTTCATACTGGATGCGAATATATGCAAGGCACACATCCTCAACGCAAGACACATTTTTCGGGACGAGAAATAGAATATCTTTGCCTAGGGTGATCGTTGGGCTGTAAAAGCTCCTGATTTATGCTCGTCTCAGCCCAAGCTACGGAACTGCTATTCCAGTTCAAAACCCATGTTAAAATGTGAACTATTTCCTTTAACGGAAATTTCTGAGTATGAGCGGCCGGCCGGCCGTGGTCACGATTTTGCGACGCTTATGTCTCAGCAACCACTTGACCGATTTACATGCGGTAATTTTTGTAGGGTACCTTCATTCCTTCTACCAAGTATTGGACTATTCCCGATGCATGTGGGTGACCCCTTATGCACGTCTCACGTGCAAAACGAAGAGGTTTTGTAATAGTTGCGCTATCTCGGTAACTACTTGGCCGATGGCGCTGAAAGTTGGCATGTACATAGGTAGGCACCCACTAGGCAATGCATATCCATGTGCCAGAGTTGGGGTGCTGCTGCACGTGCGCACGTGCAGGGGTCGTTTGTTTCCAGATCTCGAGAATGGCTGGACCGATGGCGCTCAAATTTGGTACACACGGGGGCAGATTGATGTTCCACTACTCCTCACCCATCGGGCTCCCATGGTTCAGGGCAGCAGCCAGTCCTGACCCATGGGAGCCCGATGGGTAGGGAGTGGTAGAACATCAATCTGCCCCCGAGTGTACACGGTTAGGGACCACTTAGTAGGGTGCCGTGCAAAAGTCAGATGGAACCCATTTTGCACGTGCACACGTGCAGGGTGCCGCTTCCATATCTCGAGAACGGCTGGGCCGATTGTGCTCAAATTTGGCACAGTTATTTGGAGGTACCCCGTCGCAATTTCGCACGTGCAAGGCCCCCCATCTCGCTCGCTCCGTTGTCGCCCCAAAAGGCGTTTTACTGGTTGTATATATTCGAGCGAATGATAACAGTTTAGGATTAGTATAATTGTTATCATTCGTTCGAATATATTGAAATCTAAAATTTTATGGTAAGAAATTCTTGGCCAGAGGCGGAAGCTGACAAAACTCACGTGAGAGCTTCGATAATGAACTTGGAGTCAGCGACCTTTTGAAAAAAAAACGAACTATAGGAACAGCCTGTCCCGTAGCTCAGTTGGTAGAGCACCGGACTCCCGATAGTGAGAGCCCGGGTTCGAGTCGCTCCGGCGCTCGATATTTGAGACTCCTGGCGGGAATGGTCTGCGGTTGGTGGGAGCATCCGCAGCCAGTTGAAGTCAGTTGAGTGGGACAGGCCGTGTCCGGCTTTAAAGGGCACGTTAAACTTTGGCATCTAAATTCTCCCGTTACCCGGAATTGCGCGATCGGGCGGTAGGAGTCAGGGTCTACGCAACAAGCTCTGCTTAGCGTAGGCCTCGGCTCTGTCAATCCGTCCATTCAAACATTCGAACTAAATTTATTAAAGAAAACAGCGGAGGTCCCAAAAAGTAACCAAAAGTTAAAGTGCAATATCTTGAAAACCAGTGATTATTTTTCAGTGAAATTTGGTAGATATTCGTTTTTACTCTTTCTGAACCGAGCGACATGACTGTTATGCCAATTTACTAACTTTTGAAGGTGAGTGGGCGGGTCCCTTTAATAATGAATAAGTGATGCCCAGGAGCGTCCGTTGTGACCCGTTCCGGCGGCGGAGTGTCCGGTAACTCACCACTCGCACAGGTTGGTGCCCAGCGCCGCCAGGAAGCCGGGCAGGCTGAAGCTGAGCTCGTGGGAGGAGCAGAGCGCCAGGCCGATCATCACCGGAATCAGCGACAGGTTGACCAGCAGCGGCGTCCGCTCGCCTGCCGGCGCGGCGCGGCGTGAGGACGGGACCGCCGGGGGCACTGGGCCTACACCTGAGTGGGGCTCACTCGCACCTGGTGAGAGCTTATTTGACATAAAAACTTGCACATGATTGGAAGATGGTATCATGCTCTATTATGTCGTTAGGTCGAGTAAGGCAAGACAACTTATGGCAAAAAAGTAATAAGACAACAAAGTGTGAGAAGCTGAAAAGGCTACAATGTCCATGACTGACTCTAACCAAAATGAAATAGGCATATAGCAGCATTTAGAACAGCTGTACCACCGCGGAGCCCAGCCGTCCCCTTCCCTTCCTTCCAGCGCTCACCGAGCACAACCCACGAGATCAGCACGGTGAAAATGGGCGCCGAGCTCTTCACCGTCTCGGCAAAACTGACCGCGACGAACGACAGTGCCAGAAGGCCGAGCAGAATCACCCCCGACCTGGCGGCGCGGCAGTCGGCCGTCAGAGGGGTGCACATCATCATCATCATCATCATCATTTATTTCGATTGGATCTCCATATAGGTACATGGCTTTTCAGTCCAAGAGTCAAATACAGTTAAGTTCGTACAGCTATCATCATCACGCTATCAATAATGTCAGCGGCGGCGCCGAGGCAGCCCGATGCGCCGGTCAGTAAAGACGACAGTTCTCTGTTCGATCGACTCCCAGGGCTGTGTTATTCAGGTTCAGCAATGAAGGTGTCTTCAGCCGATGCCTTTGTTCACTAGCAAATGCGCAAAGATAATGTAAGTTGCCTCAGGGGCGGTTCTCCAATATAGGCAAGGTAGGCAGTGCCTTCGTCATTTGTCGTCTCCTCTGCGTCTACAACCTCACTAGACTGTGGCTTTTGATTGCTTGATTGCTTTTGTTAAAGATCTTTTTCTTTTCGTTTTACAAAATGGGTTGAAAAGAAAGAGAATTGCCTAAAATTTTCAATAAACGTCAAACAAAGATCGTATTATAACAACAACTTGACAAAAACCTTTGCCTAATTGTGCCTACCTCGTCCTACTAGATTATCGACTATTGCCATGTTGAGGCTATTGAGCCTTTTGGTAGAAAAAGTCTAGATGGTCGGCACATCGACTAGGTGCTACCTTCTTAAATCAATTTATCATAAAGTAAAACACATTTTACGTTATTATTTTTTATCATTAGTTTTGGGTACCTAGCGTTGTTATGCCTGTTGTGTTATTCTATTGTTTCTTAAAAACCAGTAAAACGCCTTTTGGGCGAAGAACGAGCGAGCGAGATAGTGAGCCCTGCACGTGCGGAAGGGCGAGAGGGTACTTCCAACGGGCTTGTGCAAAGCACCCTTCTAACCGGTAGCTAGCGGTGTGCCAAATTTGAGCGCAATCGGCGCAGCCGTTCCTGAGATCTGGAAGCGGCATTCTGCACGTGCGCACGTGCAAACGGGGTCCAAAATGACTTTTGCACGGCACCCTACTAACCGGTGCCCAACCGTGTACCAAATTTGAGTGCAATCGGCCCAGCCGTTCTCGAGATCTGGAAACGCCCCTGCACGTGCGCACGTGCAGTAGCACCCTAACCGCAACACATGGGAATGCATTGTCTGGTGGGTGCCTACCTGTATGCCAAGTTTCAGCGAAATCGCCCCAGTAATTACCGAGTTACTGAAATGGGAACAAATTTGGCACCTCTTCTTTTTGTATTTTGCACGTGCAGTGGGGGTCACTCACATAGATCAAAAGTATCCGACCTTTGGTAGAAGGGATGCAGCTACCCTATGAAAATTACCGCAAGACAATCGCTCAAGCCGCTGCTGAGATATGGGCCTCTCAAAATCATTACTTTTGCAAAACTGCTTGAACACCCTTGACTTTTCACGTGGCACGTGCCACGACGGTCACCGAGATGTATCAAAAGTAGTCAAATACGGGGTAGAAGGGATGGGGCTACCTAGCAAAAAAGACCGCAGGCCAATCGGTCCAGCGGTTGCTGAGATATAAGCCTCTCAAAAGGGTTACAGGCCGGGCCGGGCCGCTCATACTGAGATTTTTCCGTTATATTGAAAAGACTTCGCTTCGCTCGCTGCGCTCGCTCGCTCGTAATTATATTGAACGAACTAGACTCCTACTGGGAGACTAGCTTGCCTCTGGCGGCAGACGTGTAAGCTCAAGTTAATGTTTTTTGTAGATGACGCTGCTGGACGCCTGCCGACTGAGCAATAAGGCTGTCTTTTCCCCCTTTTTACCTATTCCGTATTCAGCTTTTCTGCCTAACCTATTAACCCGCGCCCTGCTGGGGGGGTGTTTGAACACCCCCCCTTGTGGTTTTTCGCGAATATCTCAAAAACGGCGGCGCGGAGCGCCGCCGTTTTTGGTACACCTTATCATACATCAATTCTACACATGTTGTGAAAATTTCAGACCAAGGTCATTCAAGGTCAGGTCACCAGGTCACTTGAAGTGACCTCACCTCATAAAAAGTTTCGATGTCTGTCATAGCTACACCGAGTGACCGATCGCTTTGAAACTTTCAGCGATTGCTAAGAGCAATAGCATGTACAAAATGTATATCTCAGAATTTTGATATCGATGACCTAAGGTCAGGTCAATTTTGCGACCTCCCCATTATAAGTCAATGGGAGAAAACTGAAATGCGCCTCTTTTGGACGAAAGACATTATAAACACTCCCAAACACTGAATTACAAGTGGTTTAGACACACTGAACATGAAAATGGTGTCCGTGACCCCTGTTTATGCCCTGAGGTCATCTTAGGTCACGAATGGTATCTAACAGTTTTTCGCAAATAACTTTTGATAGAGGCATGCTAGAGCGATGAAAACGCCTTAGATGTGTTCAGCTCGACGATACGGATCGACTGATATGCAACATGACCCTTCCCGGTCAGGTCATGACCTTGACCTGAGGTCAAATTTTCAAGTTGACCTTTCAAGGTCAAGTTATAGTTCATTCGATGCGTCTTGACGAGAGGAACACGATGCCGGTAAAAGTAAGCTCGTACACGGCTTGGGTCAAAAGTTATTGCAGAAAAACTGTTTCCAAAAAAATCGGCTATTTTTGCAGTTTTTGCCCCCTGCAGGCAAAACCGTTGACGTTAGGTCAAATCTGAGAAGATCACTCAGAAAGGGCGTTAATAGGGCTATCGAATGCGCTTTTCCGCGGCGCTGTAGCTCTATTGGTTCCCGAGTTATGCGTTGGCTTCTTGGAAATTGTCGACATTCGACCTGGAAATCGGCGAAATTTTGCCTTCAATGACCTCTGGTGACCTGACCTTTGACCTGACCAAAAAATTGACCGAAGTGATTTCCTCATTATTTTTTACGCTCTTTCGAACGCCGCCTTCCGCGTATCGCTACGTGGCCCAGGAGCCGAGTTAGAAGGGGGGGTGTTCAAACACCCCCCCCCCCCAGCAGGGCGTGGAAATCCAGGACCCCCAGCCGGGCGCGGGTTAACAGCGATATTCCATCAACCTTCATAAATTCCAAGATTCCATCATATTATTTGACATTCCTGCAGACAGACTGGACCGTCCCATCAGCAGGTACGCAGAAACGATCCTCGAGCTCGAGTGACTCACGTGAGACAGCCAATGAGCAGCATGCTACTGTAGTAGCCGGACGGTAGAGTTTGTGACTTGTGCTGGGGACCACATGGCAGCTGCAGCTGCACAAACCCACACAGCACAGTCATGGCCACCTGGCTGCTGCCTGACAGCACAGACAGTTGGTTAGAGCACAGGCCACAGGCGCACACTGGTCAGATTCAGGTATGATGACTTGATATACCTATTTCAGCTGGATTTACACACAATTAGAAAATTATCATTTTTCAAAGCATGATCAACGACAGTGAACCTGCTGCTTACGTAAAGAAGTGGATTACATACATAAAGGTGGGTGGCATCCTGGAAAATTGTTGACTTAACCCGCGCCCCAGTGGCGGTCTCAGCCAACTTCGCCCTAGTGGGGGGGGGGCATATGTTACCACCCACCTTTAACTAAAAAACTAAGAAGGCTAGAAAGACGCGGTAAAAACGATAGCTCTCAATGCGTACGTTTGAAATTATTTCGGTCATTTTTCATCTTAGGGCAATATTGGGGTCACCAGAGTTCATCAAAGGTCAAAATTTGCCAATGCTTATTATATTTTTCAGAAAACATGCCGTTATCTCAGGAACTATGGTAGCTAGAAAAACGCATTAAAAAGCAATCGATAGCTTTTGAGCTCTTCTTTTGATAACGTCATTATCGAAACTGACCTCAGGTCAACAGTTTAGCCTCCAGAGGGCAAAACCTCTAAAAATAGCTGTTTTTACGAAGAGTGTTTTTCGACAATAACTTTCAACTACAAAAAGCCACGACATTTCTATTGCCAGAATCGTGTTCCTCTCGCCGAGACGCGTCGAATGAACTATAATTTGACCTTGAAAGATCAACTTGAAAATTTGACCTCGGATCAAGGTCATGACCTGACCGGATGAGACCATCCCCAGCGTTCTATCTCTTTCCAATCGCGAGTTATTGGCAAAAATCTGTTATTAGCCTCAAATGACCTCGGATGACCTTTCTAGAGGCTGTCAGCAAAAATGACACCTTGGTCATCGCGAGTGGTCCAAATCATTGTGATTCTGAAATAATTGGACTGTTCCTATGCGTACACACGGATCTAGAGGCATTTTCATTTTTCCCCATTGACTTGTAATGGAACGGTCACGCCACTGACCTGACCTTAGGTCATGGATATAAAAAATCCGAGATATAGGTACAAATTGTAGTCGCCCATAACATCATGCAATCCACTAAGTTTAAAACCTTTCTGACAAACACTGCAGGCTGGACATGATTGCAAACTTTTTAGGCTTGGTCAGTTAACTTGACCTGGTGACCTGACCTGACATGACCTGGGGTCAAAAATTTCACACATTGTCCAAAATTGATGTACCAAAAGCTACCCCAAGCGGCGCGGTTTTTTATTCACACGCAAAAAAACGCGACAGGGTGGTAACATATGCCTCCCCCACTGAGGCGAAGGTTAAAGGTAGTGTGCCAGCTCTCTTGGACCGTATGGAGTTAATGGCCCAGATAAGGAGAACCGGATTTTTAGAACTTATCCATACCTTCAAAACTCATGGAAACGTCTTAAATTCTTCAAATTTTGAGTACCCCAGTGCGAAATTCGCCCCGACGGGTTGTCGGTCGTACCCCAACCACATTTCACACCACTATGAACAATAAATGCACACACTGAAATCGCTATTACCGATATGCTCATCCAATCAAGTTTCGATAAACCCGTTCATTCATCATCTCCTGCGGTTTCGAACACGCCTGTTAGGTGGCTTCTGATGCTCGTCGAGGTCGGAATTTCCAAATACGCGTGGTGCGTCGGGCCGCGCGCTCTGACTTCGGCCAAGAAAAATGCGTCAGCTGATCATTGTCATTTCTGCCACTTGCGTGTGGTGAAATGGGGTCATAACTTATAAGACGGCTTTTCATATCAATTATTTTACATAAAATCATATTTCAAACCATAAATAATGTTCGACAGCCAAATAAAAGAAACAATACCAATACGGGCTTACAGTTTAAGGCTCGACATTGTGTTGTCTACGATTAGACAGCTGATAACTCATTCCCGTACGTCGTATAGTCGTAACCAGGGGTGGATTTTTATATTAAGTTGGGGTTGCACGTGCAACCCCAACTTTGAATTGTGCAACCCCAACATCGGTTTGTGCAACCCCAACTTTACAACTGAAATAAATCGGCGGGCGACTCGAATGGTGCCGCCCCCATAACCCTGAGCCATCCTAAAACTCTATGCCACCCGTTGACTTGGCACCATCTTTCAAAACAGCCCTACCCATCATGTAGGCAATAGTCACCCCTCAACTATCTAGTGTAGTTGCCCCCTCATCAGACCTCAAATGTAGGTGCCGCTCCCTCGAATGTAGGTGCCGCCCCCTCGAATGTAAGTGCCGCCCCTCGAATGTAGGTGCCACCCCTCGAATGTTGGTGCCGCCCCTCAAATGTACCTAAATGCCGCCCCTCGAATGTAGGTGCCGCCCCCTCGAATGTGTGCCGCCCCCTCAAATGTTAGTGCCGCCCCTCACTCGAATGTAGATGCCGGCCCTCCTCGAATGTAAGTGCCGCCCCCTCGAATGTAGGTGCCGGCGCCCCCTCGAATGTAAGTGCCACCCCCTCAAATGTTAGTGCCGCCCCCTCGAATGAAGGTGCCGCCCCCTCGAATGAAGGTGCCGCGCCGCCCCCTCAAATGCTGGCCCCGGCCACTTATGCATAGGTGTCATCGGTCATCCCATAAAATGTAGGTGCCGTCCCTTCGAATGTAGATGGCACCCCCTAGGGTGTAGTTGCCGCCCCCTAAGGCTTAGTTGCAGTGCAGCCCGCCCCTCGAATGAAGGTGCCGCGCCGCCCCCTCAAATGTTGGCCCCGGCCACTTATGCATAGGTGTCATCGGTCATCCCATAAAATGTAGGTGCCGTCCCTTCGAATGTAGATGGCACCCCCTAGGGTGTAGTTGCCTAAGGCCTAGTTGCAGTGCAGCCCCCCCCCAAATGTAGGTGCCACCCCCTAAGTATAGGTGCCACCCCTTGAAATGAAGGTGCCTTTCCCTCACATGTAGATACATGCCGCCCCCGCCCCCCATGCGTGGTTGCCGCCCCTCAAGTTTGTGTGCCGTCCCTCAAGTTAGGGTGCTGCCCATAAAATGTTGGTGCCGCCCCCTCTAAGTGTAGGCGCTGCCGCCTCAAGTGCAAATGCCATCGCCGCCCCCTCTAATGTAGGTACTACCCTCCTCTCAAGAGCTTGAGCTGTCACAAGGCCGTGAGCTGTCGGACATGCAAAAGTGACCAGTTAAAAAAATCGTGGATTTCGATTCCTGGTGCGCCGCTCACCGCTCAGTGAGGGGTGGGGGTGGTGCCCAGTGGAGGTCGCGGGGGGGGGGGGGGCATCAGGGCCATGGCCCCACTAACACAAATCAAGGGCTATCATATAATTTGCCCCCTTAAACAACCGATGGGCCCCGATGGGCGTAGGGGCCCTGGCTCTTACCCGATTGTCACGAGGCTCAAGAAACCAACGCCAGGTATTATGTAACAGCCCCCATACCGGTCTTTGAGTATCCTGACTTCTGAGGGCACTTCAGTGGCCTTCAAGGGCCCACCTTGACCGATGAGGGCCCACATCGACCTCTCAGGGCCCTCCACTGGCCCTTGAGGGCCCTAAAGCGGCATCAGGAGTCCCCTAACCGGCCTTTGAGGGCCCCACACTGATCTCTTGATGGCCTCATTTCTGTCGCTGGGGTTCAGGACTGACCTTTGGGTGCCGGTCACTAAGAGCCCGCATCAACCTCTGAGGGCCTAAAACTGGCCTTTGAGGGCCCTGTACTGGTCTCGAGGGCTCCCAAACTGGTCTCTGGGGGTCCACGCCTCTAATGGCCTCATTTCTTCTTCTGGGGACCCAAGACTGGCCTTTGGGTGTCCCCGAGGGCCCGTACTGTCTTCTGAAGGCCCGATGCCGGTCTCTAAGGGCCCACATCGGCCTCTGAGGGCCCTATGCTGACCTCTGGGGTCCAACACCGACCCATGCTGGTCTTTTAGGGCCCACACTGACCTCTGAGGGCTCCACGCTGGCCTGTAAGATACCACACCGGCATGTGAGGGCCCACGTCGGCCTCTGATGGTTCCAAACTGCCCTTTGAAGGCTCTGTACTGGTCTCTGAGGGCTTCACACTGCCGGTGCGGACCCACGCTGGTCTTTTGAGGGTCCAAACTGGTCTATGACGGCCTAAACTGGCCTCCTAGGGGCTAGGGCCCAACACCGTGGCTTCGGATGGCCCAATTTCTGTCTCTGGCGGACAAAGACTAACCCTTGGGCACTTCTGAGGGCCCGTACTGGCTTCTGAAGGCCCGATGCCGGTCTCTTAGGACCAACATTGGCCTCTGAGGGCCCATCCTGGCTTTTGAGGACGCTCTGGCCGGTCTTTTAGGGCCCCATACTGACCTCTGAGGGCTCCACGTTGGCCTGTAGAAATCACACTGGCCTCTGAGGACCCACGTCGGCCTCTGATGGTTCCAAACTGACCTTTGAAGGCTCTGTACTGGTCTCAGAGCCCAGAGGGCCCTAAACTGGCCTCTGAGGGCCCCAAACCGGCCTCTAAATGTCTCACACCGGCTGCTGATAACCCCATTTCTGTCACTGACACCCAAGGTTGGCCCTTGTCCCTTGGGTGCCTCTGAGGGCCCCGTACTGGCTTCTGAAGGCTCTATGCCGGCCTCTGAGGACCCATGACGGTCTTTAGGGGCCCTGTGGTTGTGTGATCCTCGATTGTCTCCCTGGAGCCGCCTCTGCGATGACTTGCCCGCCGGCGCATGGGCCGACGGCTGGGGTCAGCGGGCGCGGTTGGAATGTGAACCAGTCTTGTTCGAGACACAATGCAAGCGGGAGCCCTACTGTCGCTTATAACAGGCCCCACACTGGACTCTGAGGGCCCCAAACTGGCCTCAATGGGCCCCAGCCGGTCTATGGGGTCTCTACACCGCCACTGATGGCCCTATTATGGTCTCTGGGGTGCCAGGTTAGTCTGGTCCCTGAGGGCCCACATCGGCCTCTGAGCCTGGGGGCCCCATACAGGCCTTTGAGGGCCAATACCGGCCTTTGAGGGCCCAACACCGACCTCTGAGGGCCCG